CTGTGGGATTCTTATATACGATTGTAGGGCTGCTTTTGGCTTTCATTACTCACGTGCTTGTCAAGGTCAGGAATGCGAATACTCAGCGGGTCGTTATGATGGTTGCCCTCTTTGTATCATTTTGGGCAGTGAAGAAAGTCGTATATTTGGATAACTGGAAGACAGGTTACGGAATTCATGGATATTGGCCATCAAGTTGGAATTGATTTCAGGTAGAGTGCCTTTGCAGCTCGGCTAAATGTGGTATTTCTCGTCCATTAAATTGATAGCTGTTGAAGTTAAATTTTGTTGTTTTAACTATACGACTTTGGTTATTAGATGTTGCTTTATGAACGACCCTCATTTCTACTTGAGAACTACTTATCGGAGCATATTTTCACGTTAATGAGATATGATGTCGTATTCCAAACTTCAATATTTCAGGTTTGAGAAATGATGAATGCTTATTGTTGTTCTAGTTCAAAGCTACTCTAAACATTTCCTTACCACACTCTCTAAGGATTACGTTCTCCTTTAAACAAATTTACAAAGTTCTCTTAAATAAACCTACATTTCTGATCTTTGTAACGTTGGTAGGTTAGTTTTTTCCACCATTGTTGGGCTAACTGAGGAAAGTGCATACAGATTTGAATATTTTATATTGTTGTTTTACCCTTCTGGCTTCGTATATTAGTATCTCAGCTAAAACCACAACAAACTTGAAGTTATGAATTGAGCTGACATATTTGACACTAATTTTATTTTAAATTGCCTGCTCTTTTCTCATCAGGTTCCTTATCAATAATTAGTACATTTTTCCTGGTCATTGTATCACTTGGAAAATCTGTCGGAAGTTTTTAACTGCATTCTGATTAGCATCTTGTATGTTTTTGCCTTTCTTTCATCTAGTATATTACATCATTTCATTTGCAAACAACCATCTGGCCTATAGGGGAGTGCTTCTTTTGATCACACTGTTGAAGTTTGTCTCAAATAAACTATAGCTTGTTTGACCTCAATGATAGTTAGCACAAAAACGCCGGGACGCAGGCCCCCGAAGAGGGAAGCCCAACGGCTTTGTCGTCGACTCGAGCTGTTAATTGAATTCTTCTTACTATCTTGTCTATCCACTATTTTGTTCTAATCTCATCCTGTTATGTTTCATGGTATTAAATTTGTAATCACCAGCTATAAAAATTCATCCTAGGCTGATCCAATGGTTAAATGAACAAATTTTATGCTTAGATGTATTTGAAATCATAGGTTTTAACTTCAGCAGGTAGGTGGATATTAAATATCCCATAAATTTTCAGAGACAACATGTTAAGCAATTAGATGGTTTGGTAGTGGAATAAGTTGAGGTGCAGATGGAGAACAGTTATATAAGGAGTACGTGTTTCGTTGTTTGGGATACTGTTGTAATCACTTGGGGATAAAGAGTAGGTTTTGTTATTCACATAGTCTAAATGATTCTTAAGTTTTGGTTATTGCTGGATCATAGAACCTGTTCTCATTTGGACATGACCGTTAAAAACATTAGAGTGAATGAGAACCTAGTATGAGTAACAGCTTGCTCTTGTTGAGTTTTATGGAGTAATTAACTTTCTTAAGAGGGGTCTTTCACCAGCGAAGTTGTAGTATGATTACAACTATGCTTATTTGATGTGGATCAATGGCTACACTTGCAAAGTGATCAAAGGCATCATGTGGGCCTTGTTGCTTCCCTGAATTTTCCAGTTTTGACCTCAGGATTTTTATTAGTACGATAATGTGAAATTGAAAGACATGAACTATGTGTTGGATCTTGAGCTTTTGCCTAGCAAAATAAAATTCTTGTATTATCATCAGTTGATTAGGATTAGTACTAGTTTCCCAGTGACCTTCATTGTTGAAACTACTGTCCTAACATAGTTGGAAACCTGTTCATATGAACTCAACCGTGTTCAGTTTTTGGAACCCATGATAACTTAAACTCGGAAGATTTACCCAGAGGCCAGAAATAAAACTGATGGTTTTGAATCGTTTAGATGTGTGCTCTATTTGGTGGTTCCTTTTGGACACCTCTGTCCATATGCATGCTGGGTTTTCCTTTAGTCTCAGGATCAAGGATATTTAAATATCTAGCTACGTCAATATTGGGATTTACCAACTGTTAAACCTCTTATAAATTTATAGTTCTTTGGAAAGGGGTAGCTAAATCTGTGCATTTTTTTTTACGATACACATATTAGCAATGTGGTGCAACAAAAGAAACGGACGCAGAGGGATGAAAAGTGAACAGAGAGAGCTTTATAATGTTTAATTAATACTAATATCACATCTTACGGTTTAGGTATTTTGTTGATCTTCTATTGTGTAAATTGGTTTGGTTTAGATATGGAGTGCTGGTGTGTACGAAGGATAGGAGGGTGTGGCTCTCTGGCCCTGCTGGGTTTGATCGTTGTGCCATCGACGAACTTGAACTGCATATTACTATGATTTTCTTGGATCTGCATTCGATCATTTGATCCATAACCACGTTTAATATCTTTGTCATTATTGTATGAAAAATTATCTGTAGATGTGGTAAATGAGTTCTTTGCTAAATTTAGGTTAGATTATTTTGTTTGGTTGAATTTACTAACACTTGCATAATGTTATTTTGTACCTTGACTACTAGTTAAACTACGCTCAAGGTGATAATGATGATAAAATTTTAATTCATAAAAACTCGATGAAAGGAAGTACACATGTAATTTAAGTCAGTTTTTAATAGTCAAAACTTGTGAGCGATCATGGATGCCTGTTGTTTTCCATCATCAGCCTCATTGCACTTATTTTATAGACAGTGGTCTGAAATTGAATGGTTTAATATTGAAATTTAGAGTCCTATCCAATAAACGCATGAGGTTGTCGTCGGCAGATTGTAAAATGATTTTCTCAACCATAAACGTTTCACCAGAGGTTAATTTGGCCGTAAAAATCATTTTTAACAATTCAAAAGCCACATCCAATTCCTATGAATCTTACACTTTTTTCTTAATTTCCCCTTTGTCTTTTTTCTCCTTTTCTTTTGACTCCAAAACCATTTCTGCCGGGCCACGATTACGATGCATTATGTATGAAAACAAATACACAAAATCAATTCTTTGATTCACGTTACAATAGGAGAAAAAGTTTGGCCCTCTGTCGGACCCTTCAGAAAAAGAAAAAGAAAAAGTTTCTACCTATTCATCAACTCCACGAATCCATCCGGACACCATGATCCACCACTCTATGGCATTATTGATGCCTAATTATTACATACTATGATTCTCAATCTTTCGCTTTAATCGCACCAAAACAAAATAAAAGATCCATCTTTTCTAAAATAATAAAAATTACGTCAATAAAAACATTTAAAAATAATAGAATATAACCTTTCATTCTTATCTAAACCAGCACGTTGGTACGCAAATCACGGTATAAAATTAAAAAAAAGACGACTTTTTAAGTCCTAACAACTGCCAAAACCAGTGGCTGATTGACAATATTCAATACTCTAAATTGCATGTGCGTACCAATCATATCACAGGCGAATTCAAAATAAACTGTGGTGTGGCCACTTTAATAGTGGGACTTTGCTCTACATTAAACAATTACAACATAGTCACCCAATAATCCTATTTAAATCTGGTGGGTGTAGCTAAGTTGTGCAGTTCAGTTCAGTTCAAGCTTAACAGCGGTGATTGTTTTTGTTCAATGGCGACCAATCAGCCGCTCCTCCAACCCCCCAAAACTCACCGCTCCAAAGCCTTCTCCATAATCCTCTGTTTCGCTACCATTTTATGCTCAGCTTTCTTCATCGCCAACCACTTGATCGGACCAAACCCATCTGAAATTGATCAGCTCTTCCTCCATAACATCTGCCGTAAGGCTTATAACCCAGCATCATGCGTTGCAATGGCCGCCTCCGAAGTTCCCTTCCATCGAGAAGCGAAAATGACCAACGGCGTTCATTTCTTACAGGTTTTCTTGAGGAAATCCCTGACAAAAGTTACGGACACGATCGAGAGAGCGAATGATCTCATTCTCAGCCGTAGGATCAACGACGCGCGTGGGGAAGCAGCGCTGGCGGACTGCCTGGAGCTCATGGAGATCTCCATGGACCGAATAACGGACTCCATTTTGGCTCTGGCTCTGAACAACAAAACGAGTGTGCCCATCGAAGATGCCCACGCGTGGCTCAGTAGCGTGCTCACGAACCACGTCACGTGCTCCGATGAGTTGGAGAAGTCACTGCTCGGAACCACGGCGGCGGAGCTAGGGCTGGAGGAGTTGATTATGACGGCGAGAAACTCTCTGGCCATGTTGGTTTCGATTTCGCAACCGGAACCGGAACCCGAAATTGAGGGACAAATTGGGTTTCCGGGATGGCTGAAGAGTGGGGATCGGATGCTTTTGGGGGTCACGGGCCAGCAAATCAAAGCCAATATAGTGGTGGCCAAGGATGGGAGTGGGAATTTCAAGACGGTGAAGGAGGCGGTTGCGTCGGTTCCAGATAAAAGTAAGAACAGATTTGTGATATACGTGAAGAAGGGAACTTACGAGGAGAATGTAGAAGTCGAAAAGAAGAAGAAGAATGTGATGATCGTTGGAGATGGAATGGATTCCACCATCATCACTGGCAGTCTCAATGTTGTTGACGGATCTACAACTTTTAAATCTGCAACTGTAGGTAAAAACCTTCTCACTGACTCATTAGAAAATTTTAAAATAGCGATTCATGAACAAACTATGATTTAAACTCATGGGGTTTAATTTGATTGATGATCCAGCTGCCGTGGGAGATGGATTTATAGCCCAAGATATCTGGTTCAGGAACACCGCCGGGCCTGAAAAGCACCAAGCGGTGGCACTTCGCGTCGGAGCCGACCAATCCGTCATTAACCGGTGCCGTATCGACGCTTACCAAGACACTCTATACACACATTCCAACCGCCAATTCTACAGAGACTCCACAATCACCGGCACCGTCGACTTCATATTCGGGAACGCCGCCGTCGTACTACAGAACTGCAAAATAGAAGCCCGTCGGCCCATGAGCAACCAGGCCAACATGGTTACGGCCCAAGGCCGAATCGATCCGAATCAGAACACTGGAACTTCCATCCACAGATGCCAAATCGTGGCAAGCTCTGACCTCGAGCCCGTTAAACGGTCCATTAAGACATATTTGGGCCGCCCATGGAAGGAGTATTCGAGGACCGTCATCATGCAGTCCAGAATTGGCGATCTTATAGATCCGACGGGCTGGGCCGAGTGGAATGGGGACTTTGCACTGAAGACGCTATATTACGGTGAGTATTTGAATAATGGGCCGGGCTCTGATGTTAGCAAGCGAGTCAAATGGCCCGGTTACCGTGTCATTACCAACCCGGCTGAGGCCCAAAAGTTCACGGTGGATTCACTAATACAAGGAGGTGATTGGCTGGGCCCTACAGGCGTGACTTTCATCCCAGGGCTGTGATTCTACGCTTGTGCTCAACGGTTGGATCTTTTTTGCAGTGATTGCAAGATAATAAACAAAAAGAAAAAAGAAAACCACTTGTTGGAGAGTTAATCGCTACTTAATGCGGTTTAGTAGGATAATTATCGAGCTAGAAAATATATGAGATAAATAACATTTTGTCAAGGGACTGCCCTAAATTACTGATCAACCATAATGATATCATTACTCTATAAATAATAAAAATGATATTCCACCCACCACTTATATAAATTTAATAAGTTAATGCTAATGAGCTGTGATTTATGATTCGAAAATAAAAAAAAAAACAAAAAATATTGCAGGTAAGGAAATAGAATAGTAGTTTTAAAAACCAGACAGAATGAGATCATGCTTCCCATATATCATAACCGAATCCCGATTTGATATTTTTAAAGCCAATTTGGAGGAAGGATTCTTAAGATCTGTAGTTCTTTAAGTGGGTACCATCATTCTCATTTGGGAAACACAATAATTTATTTTTATTTTTTTATTTTTCGCAACGTGCTTCCAATTATGGAGAAACCCCAAAAGCAATGAGTAGGATTATTTTCAGTATAACAGACAAATAGTTTCAGTCGTTTAGTTAATAAAAATATATGAGAAAAGGATTTGTTTAAAAGTGGAAAATGATATTCACAGATCATTATCCATATGGTATGCACGAAAAAGGAATTAAAATACGTTTAAGGCATGATGAGAAATAGCATTACAATTTGAGATTCATTGTTTGTTTTGCAAACGTAAGCTTAATTGGTGGGATATGCAATTTGTAGATTAATTAATATATGGTAGCAAACGCTTCCCTCGTACAACCACACAGAACCCTCATTACATATATATTCCAACACCCTAATTTAATTCTCCCCCCTTCCTTTTCCAAACCTTCAATTATTTCCTTTCCCTGCAACCTTTCATTTCTTAAAGGTCTTTTACTATTTTTGGTTACCCTTAATTAATTCTCTTCTTCTCCAATTTCTCTTTCTCCCTCGCCAGTCAATTCATTCTCATACCTCAAACTCAACTTCACGCGCCGTCGTTTACTTAAATCTCTGCTGTTCAATGTTCTGGGCTTTTTTGCATCAACCCAAATGGAGCTGCCTGCATGAACAATGAATAATAATGGAATTGGAAGCCCTCCGACGACTAGCTACTTGTTGATACACCCATTATCATTCCAAAAACCATGTCCTCAAAAATGAAAGGAATCTACAAGAGTTTCAAATACATCTCTCAAATCTTTGGTAACTAACTATAATGCCTCTCTCTTAAATGTAGTATATATTGAATGGGTTTGGTGTTTGGATGATTATAATTAAAAGGTGAATATTTTTGGGCTGGATTTGCAGTGGTGAAAGAGAGAGATATGGAGATTGGGCATCCAACGGACGTGAAGCACGTGGCTCATATTGGATTGGATAGTTCATCTCCTTCTGCTTCAGCACCCAGCTGGGTTCGTCTTCCACCTTCCACCTCCTTAATTTTCTCAACTCTTTAATTCCCAATTCTAATTCTTCCATCTCTGTTTTAATTTGTTCAAATTTGCAGATGAATGAATTCAAAACGGCCCAGTCCTTGGGCGACGCCAGCGAACGAAGAGATTCCAATTCAACCGCTATAACTGCTCTCACTCATTGGTCCACTCATTCCCAAGGTCTGTGGCAGCAATGTAAATATAATCCTCGTCATTTTCTTTCTTTCTTTTTTTTTTTTTTTTAATCTTTTTTGTTTGGATTGAAGTTTTTAAAGTATGGATACTAAAATTTAACGTGCAATGCCATTTTGATCTGCTGTGACGCAGAGTTTGATCTTTCAATAGGTTACCAATCCGCATCCGACGCGTCTCTGGAGGCTCCAAAGAAATCGAAGAAAAAAAAGAGTTGCAAGAATTCGACATCTGTCAGGTCTTCGTCTTCGTCTTCCTCTTCAAGAACGTCGAAGCAGATCCCAAACTATCAACTGTAGAACACTAGAACACGAACGGCTCAGATTTTCCACATTTTCTGACAATTCTTCAAAGCGGGGTTGTTCCTTCTTGGAGTGCAAATTTGTAAATTTTTTTTTTTTTTATCTTTGTTCCCTCGGTTGCGTAAATAGTAGAAAACCGACGGACTTCGTTTGTTTTCATTTCTAGTTATACCATTACAAACATCAACAAATTAAATGTTTTTATTTAGTTCAAATTTAATTTGTTAATTATAATGAAATCACTTTCCTAAATCTCGATTAGGCCCAACTAACGGGAAACCAATATTGAAACCAGCGGCCCAAGCCCATCATCTGTTTAGGTGGCCGTCGTTCAAACGAAGGAGGAGAAGAAAACGTCATAGCGAAAACAAAAGATAGAACCGAAAATTTTTACCTTTAATTTCAAAACAAATTTCTGTTTTGCATTTCCCTCTATTAATTGTCAATTGTCAAATTTTCAATGATAATCAAAACCATATACTATATAGGTCCTTATTGGTAAATAGTAAGCATTTTCCATCAAAAACAGTTAATATAGATGAAACCAAAAGTTTACTATTTTTTTCCTTTAATTTCAAAAACCATAAAATATTAGATTTTGTATAATAATAACTTATATAATACCAATAAAGTCGTTTTCTTTTAGCTAATAAGAAGAAAATAATTAAAAAAACATCACCTCCTGAAGAGATTTCCGAAGCTGAAAAATGTCCTTCACCCAGGTATCAGCCTCATTTCTAATTTCACTCTCCCTCTGCAAGACTAGGCAACCAATAAAATCCTTAAATGTTTTGACCTAATAGAAACGTGACATGATAGTTGCTTAATCCCCTTGATATTTGTTTGTACCAAACCTTTTGATTGCAAATTTATAGGAAATTATAAATGCATTGACTTAAGTTTCAAATGTAACATACATTTGAGAGGACCACAAGGGAGTCGTTTTAGGAAAGCAAAATGGATCCAGTGAAAAAAATAACAATTCGGGAACTCTACTCACGTAAAAAAATTATGTAAAAAAATTATGATGCTTTGAAAATGATTAAATTTATCCTAATTCATCGACTTAAATTTTTTTTTCCGCAAGAGTTCAAGTAGATGATTTTCACTCGTAGGATCCTATGGAAATTTTCAAGCCCACATATGAAATAGACTATTAAGATATTGATTAAATTGACTCTAAAACTTAAGCAGTTTGGGAGTGACAACTTAATTGAAAAAATATACGAACTCGTTTGTTAATGTTATCGTTTTTTATTTTCCATTTTCTATTTTATAAACGGACCTCATAAACATTTTACAATTACTTATTTTTTATTGTCTCTCATTTTTTAGACATTCTATAAATTATTTTGGTTTGTTCCAATATAAATAGAAATATTATTTTATCATTTTTAAATTCATAATTATTGGAGTGGTATCATAAAAAGTGAGAAGGGTTGTACAGTAGCGAATTCTTTTGGTAGGTTAATAGTTAATAAATTTGAAGTTTGATCAAGGAGAAAGAGAAATTGGTGTGTGTGTTCGTGGCTGAGTTGTTAATATATTTATTGGAGGTGAAGCAGTAGGCCTAGGCCCAGTAGGCAAATATAAATGGACACAGTCTGACTCTGACGTTGCATCACTGTTCAAAAATCTACTTCAGTACCTTCGGATTCTATCTGGAATCTTGTCGCTTTTTTTTTTCCTTTCATTTTATTTTTTG